ATATGCATGCATGCACGCATTGCACATAACAAACTCGGGACCAGCTTTATGTTATAGTCTTTGTTTTTTTTGTTTTTTTCCTCGGGGTGGCTCCTCTTTTTCTTTCCTCTTCTGTTAGCAGTTCATCCTTTCATCCCTTCCCTACCCCTTCTCTTCGGGGAAGAGGGAAGTGTGGATGGGGGGGGCGTGGGATGTGCTGGACCAGTTTCAAAGGCACCATCCAAGATTACCAGTAAGACATATGGAATACTGTGATGGTCTTGCTGCATATTTTCGCAAACACCTACAACACACCCGTAGCTTTTAAGATGCGGCGTAAAAGGCAAAATGGTGGGGAGAATATTATGTCGTGCTACCCACTCTTATTAGCGATTGGCTATAGTGTCCACCCATCCACCCCTCAAGGAACGCCCACCTTCCCCCCGCGGTGCTCTCAGGAATCGCTCGCGAGCCAAGTCACTACAATACCCTACCATTCTCAACATTTATGAGGCTTGCCGATCCCGGTGTTTCTCTACCTTTCCCTGACCACCACCTGGTGAGCCGTACAGTACAGGCAAATGTGAAGTACCATGCGATGCACCACGGCACCCCCATGTCACTTCCATGTGGCGCAAAGAACCCCCTTCCTGGATGAGAAGGCCTACTCGCCATTCATCCCCGGATTGCCGGTACCGATATAGTGGACCGATATTTTTGCGAGGAAATCATTTTACTGAGGCAACCCGTACCAGTACGAGTGTATCATACGACCATCCCGGGGAGACATCCATTGAAAAGATTCGGTGATCTTACTCTGATATCCCCTTCAGATACCTGTATGTGAGACCTTCGCCCTGCGCTCTGGGCATGTGCAATGCAACCCCTGCCGGTTCCTAGAAACAAAAAGGTTGTAAAACGCCAAAGTACTGTATCAGATTTTCAGTATCAGGATACTTCCGCCGCCGATCCACCGCCCCCGACGGTTCAAAGAGGCTTAGTAGAGGCATCCAGTCCGGGGCTGAAAAAGCGTTTCTTAACTGCCAAGTTTCGAGTTGATCAGTCAGTTTTGTATGCAAAGAGGCGTTACACACACAAAAGCCTCTCTATTCGAAAAAACCTGCCAGAAGGTTTCTCCTCCCGGGGGACCAATGGTTCTAGTAACGCAAGCCAAATTGCCGATGGCTGGCTGGGCACTCGAATCGGTCTCCCTACCAAATTGCTTATCCCCGTTCAAGTATTAAACCATTTGTTGCAACCTGAGGAGGAAATGATAGTGGCAACACGTTTCTCCCCACTCCTCCTCCTTTCCTGTTTAATCATACACCGTAAGGACAGCCACTGGTATTCTTGTTCCCTTTCGTATGGTGGCCTAAACAAGATAGTTCAAGCCCCCAACCCCCCCTAAAACCGACAGACCGTAAGGGGTGCCAAGAACCCGCATCAGCAACAAACCCTCCCCGCTTCCCCGCAATCGTCTCTCAGATCATGGCGAAAGTTACCCGAGGGGGCCCCCATCAAACTGTGGACAAAAACTCAAGGGCCCCCCTGGATGTACCTCATGTGAAAAGTATTTATCATTTAATATTGCGGGAACAAGTATTAGTTCCACCTACTACTCGTAGGCCCCAACGATGACACGCAGCTGTAAAAGAGGTTACCAGAAAGTCAATCCTATATCATAGAAAAAAGCACTATTCGGGTAACTAATAGATCCTACCGCTAACCTGAACGCTAACATCCAAGCCGTCACATTATTAGGGAACTCCGGTAGTCTACCAACAATATCATAACACATGTGCATCCACAACACCAGTAGGAAAGAGTGGGAAGAACGAAATAGAGGGGGGAAAGAAAAAATTTAAAATCACCTTCAGCGCTCAGGAATATTGCGCACATTAGGAAGGTGAGGCATAACATTGCATAACCCCTTCACATGAACTTTAACTGAAAGTTAAACACACAACGATACACCACATGAACATCCCGCCCCCATTCAAGCTGTCAACCACATCCTAACGGAAACCGCCCCCCCTCCAACGCACAAACCGCAAGAAGAAGGAAAAATGTGAATTAACGCAGGGATATAACCTCAGCGAGCACAGTCGTGCAAGCAAACCTACCAACCGGGTACGAAAAAGACCATTAATGTCCATCACTTTCCAAAACAAAGCCTTGACAGCCTGCGCCTGCGATGTACAGTAACCCTGCAGTGGCTTCAGGGTTTGGGAGGCGAAGGAGGAAGGGGGGGGGGGAGGGGGGGGGTGCGGGCGGGGATACGAAGGGTTCGTATAACACAAACGTGCGGGGATAGCTTTTACAATCTGAACCGAATAACGTGCGCACGGGGGATGTTCCCGTTTCCTCATTACAGAGGTTGTCATGGGCATTGGGGGTGCGCTCTCCCCTCCCTGCTTGCCTTCCTGCCTGCTGCCTTCCTTGCCTTGCTCTCTGTCCAAGTCATGCTGATCGAGCCGTGCTATCCTGCCCCACATGCCTCTCCTAGCGGGATTCACCCATCCAGGCATCCACGGGTCTTTCGTTAATTATGGGATTTTGAGATGGGCCAACTTCTGCTCTACCTTTCCTACCCGGCTGCCCGAACAATAGATACCCTACCAATGCATCGTTCCCAGTCATAAAAAGTTATTGTTCAGTCCCATCTCACACTAGCCCCTTTTCTCTCGGTACCCCACGACCAGCACAAGTACTGTACCCTCCCAAAACCGTCTTACCATTCAGAATAAGAAAAAAGAAAAAAGAAAAAGAAAAAGAAAAGAGCACTTCCCTACAAAAGGGGTAACCCAGTAAACACAAGTGCGGTTTACCTCTTCATATGAAGTAGATTGTCTTAAATAGTTGACACACAAGCCGCACGGATCGGACCCTAATGTGGCGCTTTTGGTACAAAGCTGGACATGTCTGGTTTTTTCGGTAAATTCTGGTCACCCCTTTGATCACGAGCCGTTGCTATGATAACCTGGACGGGGAGATGGTTTTGACTTATTGCACTGGATTCATGACAATGCTTCGTGGCCCCGGCTCCGTCGCTTCGGTGGAGATGGGATGGGGGCATTTGCACTTAGGCAAGGGAGGTGGGCACTCTGAGGTGTCGCCAGGGAGATAATGCAGGTATCCAGAGCGCATAGGTATCGAGAGAGACGATCGTGGAACATATGCAGCGCCCGTACAGTAGAGAGGGAAGGGGGGAGAACTTTTTTCGCTAAGCCGCAATAACCCTCCAAACTTACTTTTCCCCGTTTAAACTCTTAGCTACGGGGATGGATGCAAATCGCAGTAACTTAAAACGGCATCCCGTGTCTTGGACTTTACAGAACTTCACCTCCCAAGCCCCGGTTCCTCCGACCGCTAATTCAACCTTCCTACCGTACTGTACTGTACTATACACGCCGATCATAACTTGGTCCTAATGGATCGAGAAAAAAAAAACCCCCCCAAGAATGTATCGGCCAGTCCTCAAGCTAAAACCAGCCATAAGCACAATCACACCCAACCCACCACGATCCTATATTCACCAATCAGCACCCAGCCACTCATACATACCTATCCGGAGAACACCATCGCACAGAGCTTTTACAGTACTGCACAACCAAACTCAACTCAATCCAGGAACCATTCACCCCCAGAATCTAATCCCCCACCCCTCCCCTATGCATAGTCCACTGCACACAACGTGGGACAAGCATGTCCTCCCAACCACAGAAGATACCATATCCCGGTTTCCCATCTATTCCCACAACACGGGAGGAAGCAGAGGGAAGGTCACTAAGTTACCACCAAAAGAACAGCGCAGGACAAAGAGGTGCGCGTGAGCCCCCGTCCAATCCGATCCAACACCGGTTCTACCCGCGATACGACATTGCCATTCCTACATATCTGGTTGGGGGTGGGGTGGGGTACACAGGTATGTTTGTGTAAAACACTTGTACTACTTACTAACTGTAGGTATGCATGCACGTGAATACAAGTACTCGTACAAGTACCATAGACAGGGGGGGCGTCCTGGGGCAGACAAAGGTCCGAAAAGTACGGAGGGAGCTAGTGAATGCGGTTGGTATAATAATCCGTATCCTACATGGAAGGAGGGAGGGGGAAACGGAAGAAACAAACATACTATCATGTGTAAAGTGATATACTGTACAAAGTACATACGATACCCCACACAAACGAACCAAACCCCCTCCGCCCCCCCGCCCCCCTGGTGGCCAGTTCCGTCCATCCATTCAAGCTGGGAGAGAACCCGACACCAAATCTCTAGCAAATGCCCACAACTACCACCCCAACTTCCACCAGATAGCCATATGATACCAAACACCAGAACCGGTCCCAAGAGACCACACATTCTTCCCAGGGCCCGACCCGACCTGACTAGACCTCCCCCCCCCGAGACTTCCCATATCCGCTGTACTTCGTGCCCTGGCTTTCATTTCATTTCTACCCTTTGCTTTTGCTTTTGCTCCCCGCTCATGCCTTACTTACTTACCCTTCCACCCCGATGTCTTAGCAATGCCGCATTGCACTGTATCAGAACTCCTGCGCGACAACCCATTATATTATATATACCAAACAAATCAAATCAAAAATCAAAAAACTAGAAAAAATCAAAAAAAAAACACCCTCCCCTCCCCCTCCCCTCGCCCCCTCCCAATCTGCAAATGTCTGTTCCAAAAAAAATGTCACAGTGTGTGTGGGTGAGATTGAATTCCTCCATGGCATGGTAATAAAGTTGAACCAACGAACAGTTGACCAATCAGTCAAGCGGTACACTGTAAGGGAGAAAGAAGAAGAAGAAGAAGAAAATACACACTACAATATACAAGCCCGGTTCAAACTCGCCGAATCGACAGCATGACTGATGATACCTTGGAGAAAAGTGCAGGACAGGGCAGGGTAGTACCGCTATACTACCAAACGTCCCTTATGATATTATGATACCGGTACATGCACCCACGCTAAGTAAACAAGTCCGCGGTGGACTACAGAATCCATCCCATCCCATCAGACTGGAAATTCCCAATTTCACGCATCATAAAACCGCTCCAGCGATGATTGGGTTTCAGCTGACCAAGGTGAAATGAGATGAATCTACGATAACGAGATCAACAACCCCACTTCCGGGTACCCGTAGTACGGCACTGGAATGGAATGCGATGGAAAACAAGAAAGTGCCGTAGCTAATCAGATTCACCCTTCTCCTTTCGGTCAAGGGTAAATTAACCACCACAAAAAGGCAAGACAGACCCATCGCAGACCATGCACCAAATCAAATCAAACGCTCATCAAATACATTATGTTTTTGCTTTGTTTTTCTAACTAAAAAAGGGGAGGGGGTATCAATCATATCATGTCCATATCATATCTACAACTCGCACAAGTACATTTCCCAAGCAAGCAAACCAAACCCATCTACAAAACAGCAAGCGAGCGACGCCGCCCTAATGAATCAACCAACAACCGAAGAGTGAAAAGATGAAGAAAAGGGATTGTAGACAAATAGCTGCCATCCAAAAGAAAATCTGCCCTCTGTAAGATAAAAAAAATCAAAAACCTGTACTGTACGATGGATATGAAGATGAAGATGATAAATCTCTGGAGGAAAACAAGAGAATAAATATACTAAAGAATATAAAAAAGTTACAATGATGTCAAAGAAGCAACTCCTATGTTTCCCCAGAAAAAAAAAGAAAAAGAAAAAGAAAAAAAAGTCATGTGCGGCGCCCAGCGCAATGAAAATGTTGCCTGGCCCATTCTTTAAGAAAAAAGGAAAAGCGAAAAAAAACTCCCGCTTTCATCTGGCCCAGTTCATCATAGACATCGTGATAAAAATGACAAAAGAACGCCGGTATTCCCAATAAAAGAACAAGCAATAAAAAGTAGGCACAACCCCCAACGAACGAAAAATATGGCGCAATTGAAAGCAAAAGGGTGGGAAAGAAACAAAAAACGCCAAAATGCTAGATACATACACTCGAACCCCGTGACCCAACCATGACAAAAGAAAATGACAAACGAGAAAAGGAATAGGTAAAAAGGTTAGAGGAAGCTCAGATCAAGAGGAAATCCCACGAGTTGCCCTCCATCACATCGCGCCATCCACCTTCCCATCCGCTCTCCCTCCTTCCCCAAAGGATCTCCAAGATCCTGGCCATGCGTCCGAAACTTCCACAAGCCCCAGCTTCTCCCAAGGCCGAACATCTGCTCTTGAAAAATCTCACAAAGAGCGAGCCTGGGGTGGCAACAGATCCACCAACAAGGTACACCCAGACGAGGGAGCGGTCAAATCCGTCGGGCCCTGCAGGAATCGATTCAAGGCAATGCGTAAGCTTGTTCAGGAGTTCCATAACCTGCGGTTGGTGGCGATCAAAGCCAGGCACGAGCGAGCAAAGGTAGATGCGGGCGGCGAAGCGGAATGCGTCAGTGGTGGCATTAGTTAGTTGTCTAGTATCGACCTGGCCATTCGCTGTGACGATGGGCGATGTCGGCATGGGCTGGTCAAGAGATGGCTCGGTAAGATCGATCTGGTGGGCGAGAGACTTGACATGATCGCAAAGGTCAATATCCGAAAGCATTCCGTCCTTCTTCAAAGCTTCCAGGCAGGCGATCTCGGAGATGAGATACATGACCCGATCATCACAGCCCATGAGTTCTCGCAGTCCACTGATTCCATTGCTGAGATGCTTTTCGCGGTAGGTGTCTGCGAATTGGGGTGCACGGCCAAGCATGGTCGCGCCAAGGATATCGATCCACGCAGTGAGGGTCATATTGACCGATGGGGGGGAGTGATTGCTCTGGGAAATGTGCTGGAGGCATTGGGTGAGATCCATCTTGTTGACAAGGCTCGTAACAGCCTGGAAGTGTTGGTGCCATGGGATATCCGGAAGGTTGTCATCGGGAGAGCCAACAGAGCACTAGCCGAAAACGTTAGTAAAAGAGTTTCAAGGGCAAGCGATCGTCATGCATTGTGCCTACCTGGAAGAGAACCATCCCAAGAGTCGCCTCAAGGATTTTCAGATGGTCTTGATCCCGTGCCAACGCATCGCAGAGCCCCGAAATGGTGGCATATCTGTGTCGTGTGATGCTCTGATCAATCCACTCACCCTGAAGCCCTTGAGTGACCTTAAGATGAAGAGCAGCGATGCTCAAGCAGCAGTGGCGGTAGCACTCGTTGGAGGCCAAGGCGGGGAGGATCACATCTTGCTTGGCGTCCAGATTCAGATCAAGGATGGGGAAGATGATTGGAAGGACATTCTCTACAAAGTGGTTAAGGAGGTGCTTGTCACTCTCGTCAACCTGGATGTAGGGCACCGGCGCCTCGGGCTGACCGTAGCCGTAGTCAAAAAGGCCAAATTCGGCGGTGGCAGGATTCTCCTCAGCGCTAGCGCAGGAAGCGGGGTGGGGTACGTGTCGGTTCAGAGAGTCGAACTGAGCAAGCCCCTCGGTTGGAACCATAACGTTGGCAGCCGAGTCCCGTCTCATGTGGTGGCTGCTGGTGTACGAAGCTGTGCTAGTGGAGGCTCTTCGCATGGGCATGGGGAACGAGTTCACATAGGTCTGCTTCTCCGTCATGATGTCGACCTCAAAGGGGGGGAAGGGGTGGTATGGGTGGTGCATGTGTCCGTTGTGGATCTCCGGGTTTACAAGGTCATTGTAGTTCTCCATCTCCTCCTCGAGCGAAAGACCAGACTCCATCGAGAGCGAGCGTCTTCGAGCAATAGTGTCTGAAAGAGTATCGGAGGTTGGTAAAGATCGCGAAAGTTCGGGGGGGGAATCCGCACTAATTGGTGAGATCTGGGCCACCTTCTCGGACAACTTTGTCCTCTTGATCAACATCTTGATGGTCTCCTTCTGCCTCTTGCGCTGGTCGACATTTCCCCACCAGACGGGACGCTTGTATTCACAGCTCAAGCCAAGATGCTTGCACGCTTTGCAGAGAGGCTTCCCCTCATCACACTTCTTCCGACGAAGACGGCAAGTAAAGCAGCCTACGGTAAAATGGGCCCCGTCAGTAAAGAAAACGAAGGGACAGCGTCATCCCCGAGAAGCGCTTACCTGTGCGTGAGCGACGGTGAGTCTTGTTTCCAGTCTTTGGCGCCTTTGGCTGCATTGTGACTGCTGTCAGGGGAGACGGGTAGGAAGTGATGGACGAAATCTTGACGGTTGGATGTCGCAAGCGACTATTCAACTAAAAAGCTGCAGTGTGATGATGATGGTGATGGTGATGGGGTGCGGTGGAGTAGAGGGGCTGGGGAGAGGAAAGCACGGCGAGATATGACGATGGTGTTGATTGATGCAGAATTACTTTTTCCGTTGACCTTTGGAATGCTCTGTAGGGAGATGGGCTGACGGATTGAAGCAAAGAAGTCGAGTAGGACGGTGATTGATCGAATTCCTGTTGCCAAAGGGGGTGGGCGATGGGCTCGATTTGTAGAAGTGTCGTGGTAGCCGTGGGTATTGGGTTCTGTGTGGTGGATAGGGAGAGCTCATCAACGAGGAGGGGCGACGACTGTTATGTATGCACGGAGCGAAGCAGCTCCGGCACTCGAGCTGTTGTTTGGCTTGCTTCCCCATCCTCCATCCACTCACGCATCCGCCTGCCTACCCCCCCCTCCTCCCACCTCTCACTTCGGGATGGCCAGGGATGTGGTCGAGGGGGGGGGGGGTTTTGGGTGGTGGTGGTGGTGGAGGGCGAGTGAGTACAGGGGTTGAGGTGAAAAAAAAGAAAAAGGGGAGAGGGAGGGAGAAAATTAGGGTGCAGGGTGGGTGGTTTCAATGCTATCCACCACAACTGGTTGCAGAACCGTTTGCTACCCAAAAAAGAATCAATCCACCTTTTGGTCCTGATGCCTCTGACCTCAAAATGGGAATGGATAAAAAAAAATAAAAAAAAAAGTAATAACCGTGCCGAAGAGGTACAAGCCAGAAGATACATTTCACGCTGTGTACTCGCACACCCGCACACCCAATACTTCTCGCCCGCTCAATGTAGAGTACCACACCCGAGTGCGAGTATGATACGGTACCGTAGATGGCGGCGTCCAGTGTAGCCCACGGTAGTACCTACGGTAGTGTATCATGCTCATCGAACTCACCCACTCAACTCCTACCGGTACCCTCACTCGTCCACACCACACCACAATCTCTGCACTGCACGCACTGCATATCAACCCACGCGGGCAAAGAATAGAAATGGGACCCCGAATTGGCTATCCAAATATTGGTTGCTTCTCAAACATCGATCTGCTCCCCCCCCCCCCATCGGTACCCCAAAGGGCCGCCCGGAAAAGTAAAAATGGCCTTTGTAATGCTCTAATCTGAGGTACCCGTAGAAATTACACTTGGAGATTCACCCAGAGTTGGCATTACGGTGAAATTTAATTATATCCTGCTTGTCGCTTCGTCCGCTGTTAGCCAAGTATGGTAGCCTCTCTCTT